ACGAAAGTTTGGCACAAGTTTTTTTAGATCCAGCTGTAGGGGGCGTCCCACTTTTCGTATTCCCACCATGCATTTCGGTGGAACACGGTGGAACACTTTTTTTGTGTGGAGAACTCTATCTTGTATTTCTAGTATCTTTGATAAAATATATAAATAACAATTATATAAATGTATACATTCATCCAGTATCATGCATGTGTTTCTCACGAGCATTGTAAATAAAGCTGACAGTTTATCGATGAAAGCTGCCGGTTAATTAATTAATTAATAAATTCGTTTTCATGAATATTTTCATGACTTCTACTACAGCAGAGTTTATGTTTACAATGTATCTAATAGTTAATTCTTTCCGTTATTAATTAATAATTATAAAAGGCTTGATCCTGGACATCGTGAATATACATACAAGTTAGAAAATACGAACAGGCCTGATGCAGATCAGCCCTAACCATGGTGGGGCTGAGGCGGGAATTTGTATTTCCCCCACCCCCACCTCCGCCAGAAAATTTCTGGATCCGCCCCTGGTTATAGCAATAATTAGGAGGAACAATCTTTAATTGTGAAATAATAGGTTGAAGAAAGTGGATATTTTGGAATTTTATTTTGGGATTTTTTTTGGGGGGGGGGGGGTGCATTAGGGGGTAGGGGTAAGCTCTCCACGAAGGGGGTGTGGGGATACTTTTACAAACAAAGAACGTTCTTTTTAAAACAAACAACGTATATTGCCAAACGATGTATTTTCTCAAACGAAGAACGTACATTGCGAAACGAAGAACCTTCCATGCCAAACAAACAATGTATATTGCCAAACGAACAACGTACTTAAATCTGACCGTGAAGCCTCTGTGGCCTAATGGTTGTTAAGCTCGCCTTGGCAACGGAAGTTTGCAGGTTCGAATCCCGTCGGAGTAATTTTATTAACACAATATATGCTGTCTCTTATACACATCTAGATGTGTATAAGAGACAGAGCATGAATGGTCCTGTGTTGACGAAACCATAATCATGACTACTACTGCCCAGCTTGCTGGAAGGAGATCGGACGAACTTGAGCATAATGCTCGTCATCTCCATATGATCCGAGGCAATGTTGAAGACGAACGCCTCGTTGAATATCGGATCACACGTGCCACGAACTACCGAAGTCTTTTTGCATTTGATCACCTTTCGGCGTTGCATTAATTGAACCTTGATCTGTATACCTATGAAAAATATAATGAAAACAATATGTATTATTTTATTTGCTGATTATTGGTGTTTGTATTTGAGTTCTATAGGTGGGCTTTTGTGTACCCGCCTAGCTGTAAGAGTCTTTACCAATAAATGTAGTTCAATTAAAATTTATAAAATAAAATAAAAAATCACTTCCAATTTATATTAAGAATAACTTGAAAGTCATATATTCTTACATGCATCATTTTGAACATTTGTATACAGTATTTGTTAATACCAACAAATTGTTTTGTACTAATAATTAATATATTTAAAACACTATTAGGTAATAATAATTAGGAAGTTTGTTGAGGAAGATCCTCGATAATGGGGCAAGATGCTTCCGTAGGAACTATCTGTTTGCTTATAAATTATAATATAATATTTATTGACATTACACTTTTACATCAGTGGCAGCACACAAGAAAGTGGCGCAGTCAAACTTAAACTAATGAACAAAGAGTAAAAACAACAACTTAAAGCTAAACAAATGAAAGAACTTATGAACAAAGAGTAAAACAACAACTTAAATCTAAACAAATGAGAGAACTTAACGAAAGAAAATACAACTTAGATCTAAAATAAATCAAATAAATCATGAACATCCCTTACCCTACCCACACAAATAATGTACATAATACACATTACGTGCATACAGTACCCCACCCAAATATGTAAAAATAAAAATAGAAATCATAGCAAAGATATTAGAAATACCAGTGTTTCTATAGTATCTTTGATAATAGGTAGGACTCCATTATTATGCTATGATAGTACAGTATAGTAAACACAGTGGTTGCTAGTATGACTTGTTCCTAGACCTAGTAATGAACAATTGGAACTGCGATGCTGTTCTCTATAAATGCGAGTAACCTACCTTCGCATATCATCTTTCTTATATCTTTTGCCTCAAGAACGACTATTTTCAATTTGTGGTTTTCAGGTGTAAAACACAAAGAAAATTGTATTCTTCCAAGATCCAATGCAGCTTGCTAAAAATATTATAATAAAAATTGAGAAAAAGAAATATATACATTAAAAATAAAATGCAATGTTAAAAATAGTCTGCTACTACTTTTGCTGCTTTTGCTATTACTACTACTGCAAAAATAACAACAAAATTAACAATAACAACACCAAGTTGTTGGTATTAAATATGCTGTTCAACAGACCAAATAAGATTTTAAGTACCAATGCAATCTTAATTTTGTTACACAAATACAAAAATAGCTTTGAATATAACTGCGATGTGGTGACAAAATATTTATCGTTTTCAATACCTGTAGTTGCAAAAATTCCTTCATAAACTTGTAGGCATATTACCAATAATTATATATATTGCGTCAGTTGAAATTTACTCACGTAGTCAACTTGTAGATCCCGCCAAATTAAGTCGGTCTTATTGAGACTAATTTCAGCAAGATTGACGACGACTTGACCGAGTAACTTTCGATTACGGCGTCGATCTATTTCACAAACAGAAAACCGAAGCCGACGAGATCTGACTTCGTTCGGAGGAATCTAAAGTAGATCAAATTGATTGCAGATATTGTTATAAATTTTTAAGTTTTCTTATGTTTAATTACTAATATCTAACTGACTAATATCGTATATATATATATATATATATATATATATAATGTATATATATATAAGTACAT